TCCGCTTCCCCTCATGTCGAGGCGGATGCAGCTTCCTCCAGCAGACAGCACTTCTGTCACCGATACATGCCCCATCGCTGTCTGGGAGACATCACCATGCCTGTCATTGCCTCTTTAAATGTGCATCGCCCCAGCTTGCTGTCAGCTTGGGGATGTCGGGGGCCTTCCAGTGCAGCCCTGTGGGGTATGCTCATCACTTGTTTCCTCGCAGATGTTCAAGAAAAAGGGCCTTTCAGATTACCAAGTCCTTCCTGCCCATTCTGGAGTGGCTGGCCATGAAGGAGTGGCTGATCAGCGACATCATCTCGGGGGTCAGCACCGGCCTCGTCGCCACTTTGCAAGGTAAAGCCCGGCACGTCGGCCCCCTGTGAGCGAGCTGGCGGAACACAGGGGTGTTACGCAGGTGGAATTACAGATGTGAGACTTGTTATTTAATACTAGATATTAGGTAGTATTTTGCAGTAAATAATTGATGATTTTAATTTATTCCTTTCCCCCCTTTGCTTGGCTAGAAGATTTAAATTTCCTTTGATGTGGTCTCAAGATGTATTTAACTTTTCTTCCAAGGGTTTTACTCAAAGACTATTATTTTTGATATTTAAAATTTTAATTACTTTGTGATAAATCAGGTGGGTCCCGTGGTCTTATTTCTCTTTCTTGGTTATATGAACCTATAGCTCTCCTGCATCTGCCTACAGAAATCTACTTATTGCCCCAACCTTGATATCTACTCTCCTTTAAAATCTGGCCCATAAGGTTGTTCAGCTGTCTCCAGAGAACAGCCCTCAAGGAGGTGGTATTCCCATTGAAAAAACGTATAAACTTGATGGATATTTACAGCAAATGTCTTGCAATAATAAGATTTCCTTATTTTCTTATTATATTTATTAGGAAAGCGTTTGGTGGATGAACAAATAGAAAAGTGGCAGAAATAAACAGAAATAAAATAAGTTAGTTAAGAAAGACCTAAAGGGCAGAACTATTCTAGCTGGGGCAGCTGCTAAGGTCCACTGTCAAAGACAAGACTGGCTATAACCCTGATGTGATCCAGCACATTCATTTCTTTCATGTCAGTAGTGTTCTTACACTATTTTCACCATTTTTCAGGACTGGGGGAGGTTAAGCTGGCTGTGCTGACCCCACATTTTCCCTCAGTGGAAATGAAGTGTTTGCACATGGGCGCAAAGCTTCATATTGGGAACAAAGCAAGCAGGTTACGCATTCCCAATTAGCCACAAGTATTCCCTACCGTCCGTTCCCCTGGAGCGTGCTAGGAAGGCACAGACTGGCAGAATAAAAAAGCTGGCAGAGGGTGACCTGAGGAATAAGAAAGAGATTTGCTCAGTCCTGTAGAGAGCCTGTGTGAGAGCTGGAAGATCGCTGTGGAAGGTAGTGCCTCAGTTACAGGAGTCCCCTGCATTTTTAAAAGGGGCTGGACTACATGGGCTTTTCATATGACTTGAAACAGCTGTTATGCTCTTATGTAGCCCCCTCATTTATTTTTTTTACAGTGGACCTGATGGTCTCACCATTAGATTCCACTTGTAAAACTGATCGCTGAAATACACTCTGGTCTCCCACCAATTAATAATAATTAAAAAACCAAACTAGCACAAATCTGAATCTAGCTGTATTAAACGAAAAAGATGAAATTCCAAATGATGCAATATGGGGAAAATTGGCCAAAATGGTTGCCAAAAAAAGAGGCTTCTGGTATTTTGAGGGCCCTGAAGTCCCTAACTTCCAGCAGCTGTGTGTTGCTTGCAGTCCTCCCAACCGTAACAGTAGTATGACCAGGACTTAAATTGTTTTGAACTCTGATGGCTTTTGCAGTATCTTTGAGGCAGAATACTACACTGCAGTGGGAGCTAACCAGGATATGATCCTGAAAGCAACTTGTTTTTTCATTTTTTGTTGTATTTGGCAGCTTGCACAGGTATCCCACGCTGGTAGTTGAATGAGTAATTACTGAAAGATGTTCCTGTATTTGTATAGGAAGCACAAAACATAGGCTCAGGTGTGAAGTTTAAGTGGGGGAACACTGTTGCAAGAGTGAATAATCTGCCCCTGGAGAGGAAAGAGGGGTATGTGAAGTGTTCTAGTTATAGACAGAAATTTCAAGCACAGACTCTGAATTATTGCACTACAAACATACTTCAGCATGTTCAGCCCTTCTGAAAATCAGGCTGCCTTTTTTTTAACTCCGTATCAGCTTATAAGCTTAAATACCAAAAGTAAATCACACAAATTTGACAGTTTTGATCCTTATCGCTGTCTTCCCCAATCACAGTCATAGATATTCACATATATGCCTGCAACTGATTTGCAGACAAAACACATTCTAAATTGTATCTGGACAAAAGAAGTAATTCTTTCTGAAAGTCTATTCTAGACAAGGTAGTAGTTTGTTGTGAGATTTTAAACCTGACATTCTGATGGTCTGTCATTTCAGGTTTGGCATATGCTTTGCTGGTTGCAGTTCCTGTTGGATATGGTCTCTATTCTGCCTTTTTTCCCATTCTGACATACTTTTTCCTGGGAACATCAAGGCACATCTCAGTTGGTAACTGCGTGTGTTCAACTTACAGTGAATTACCTATTACAAAATGTTAATCCTTACTGTGAACATTCGTATTTCATACAAGATAACTACTTTCTGAACTGAATTGGTTGTGCTGAATATTAATATTGCTGCGTTTGTGGGACTTAAGGTTTATTTCTTCTCTGTCCAGACAATTGTGCGTAATAGCTAACTTCAGTTGTGCCCCTGCATGCTTTTTGCTTGCATTTATGCTGAAGTTTAAATCTTGTCTTTGGCTATACTCTTTGCAAGAAATTACAAGATCAAGGCCTCAGTAGGCAGTGTGAACAGACATTTTGTCTATCAGCTAAAGCTCAAGATGGCTAAAACAGCTCTTTTAGTCTTCTCTACGAGCCTTCCTTGCTGCAACCTTTTTTGATCACTGTGGACAATGTCATCTTCTTGCCTGTCGCGGAGACCCAGAACCTGTGTGTCCACTCCAGCCTCGCTCTAGATCCTCACATCAAGGCTATGGGTAAACCTTGTTGATTCTTCCTGAATACTTTCTTTAAAATATGGGGGTTGTTTCCTGTCAGTTCTCACATTTAAATTTAATGTTACAGCTTGATCACTGGAATTTCTTTTTCTTCATTTTAATAAAATAGAGTCTTTCCTTGTTCATATCCACTAAGAATAGATGGTTTTCCCCTTCCAAAGCTTTGGCATGATATTACGCTTTTTTTTTCAGCTTTCTTCTCTGCTGCCTCAAGTACTTCTGTATGCTTTCTCCACTCTCTTAGCCTCTTCCTACCCTGCCTACCACCTTGCATTTGCTATCCAGGTCTGAGTTGTCACATCCGCTTATGTTGACATTACTACTTTCTAGATTACCAAGCATTCCTCTTTATACTTTTTTTAATAGTCTTATTCATGAAGCATTCCCTAAGGTATCTGTAAAATTAACTTATCCTTCTTTAAGACATTTCATGACATTTTCTTTTTCTGCATAATTTTCCTAAATAACTGAAACAAATATGATTACTTTTAGATTGTGTGTTGCTGACACAATGATCACTTACTCTTTCTGTATCTTGCCCTAAATATAGTTTCAGTCATCTTTAGCCAACGTAATACCACACTACTGCCAAAAGATGTGGTCCTACCCCTCACTGCATGTTCCTGCCACCACCGTGGTGTTTGGATTCCTGACCATGTAGCTGTGTGGCAATCTGGACCAGCTGAAAACTAACCATGATAAAAAAAACCCAAAGACAAAAAAAAAGAAAAATTAAATAACTGTTGCTTCCATCTGGATCAGTGATCTGTTTCGTCTGGTTGTGGTGCTGATACAAGGGAGATGGTTGGAACATGTTGCTCCTTTTGGCCTTGGTACAGCCCTAAATTGGCTTAAGCAAAACATGAAACTGCACCTGTATATACAATGTAAGTTACTTAAGGAAGGAATTGTATCCTTGTGCAGTGCCTGTGGCTCCTGGTTCCCTAATATTACTAATGTACCCAGTTAAAATATTATATGGATTTGCTGATTGATAGTTTGCTTATCTGGTCTGATAAATGCTTCTTTTCAACATATATTAAACTTCAGTGTGTTCTGCTTGTCATTACAGGTCCATTCCCTGTAGTCAGTTTGATGGTGGGATCTGTTGTATTGAGCATGGCCCCTGACGATAATTTTCTCATAGACAGCAGTAATGCTACAGGGACTAATGTTACTGGGACACTGATAGACACTGAATCCCGAGATGCACAGAGAGTGCTGATTGCTAGTACACTCACATTTCTGGTTGGAATTTTACAGGTAAAATAGTTGGCTTGAAGACACAAGGTTGATACTGTTTTAATTTTAATGGGAAAAAGTACAGCATGGGTGTATGTAGTAGGGCATTAAGACATTCTCCTGTAGTAAAACACAAAAATGAAAAAAAGTAATCTCAAATTCTGAAGAGCTTTTGGGGAATTATTCTTCTTATCCTGGGCAGAGTCTGTGGCAGCAGATTGCAGACCAAGAGACTTGCAGGAAACTAAGTGCTAATGGTGCATATCTTGGAGCAGCCTCTCACACATAAACATCTCCTTTATTTCCTTGGATGGCACAAAATTAAGCTACACTAGGTGGCAATTGTGGAATATGGTCTTAAGACTGTGTAGCAAAGAGAAAAGAAAAAGCTTATGAAATCACCAAATAAAAGTATACCTTTTTGTTGTTTAGCAGGCTGTTATTCTTCATGATTTTTCCAGGTAATATTTGGAGTCCTTCAGATTGGTTTCATTGTGAGGTACCTTGCAGATCCACTTGTTGGGGGATTCACAACTGCAGCTGCTTTTCAAGTGTTTGTGTCACAATTGAAAATAGTCCTAAATGTTTCAACAAAAAACTATAATGGTGTCCTTTCCATAATATATGTAAGTATGTCCTACTAATCTGTTTCGGTTTTATGCCAGAATTTTTATGTTATTATCCTCTGCTTCTATTTCATACAGGAATGGTCCATGTATATGGTGGTAAGTATAGGGCATTCCTTTAGTTCTCCCTGTCATGAAGATCTGCTACTGTTGATTTATAGCTGTGCAGCTGTAAGTAGCTGCTTTTGGGATTTCCCAGACAGAAAGTCAATTCTCATCTTGAAGTCTTTTTCAGGCAGAGCAGGTTTTCACATAAAGTTTAAACGTAATTAGCCAGCAAAACAGTTCTTCTTCTCTAGGTTGTCACTTCTGGAGACTACTTTCTGTGCCACCCCTTTCTTTCTGGCTTATTGTGAATGATATTTCATCATTTCTTAACAGTGCCAGGTCAACTACCAAGTCTGACTGGTCCCAAGCTTCTTTAGTCCTAAACCAGCAGGTCATTCTGATAAAGGGCATCCTTCTCCATTACACACTATAGCCATACTTGTGAATACCCAAAGAAGGATGTGGATTCCCACCCTGCGGCCAGGTACCAACTGGTTAGTTAAGGTGAGGCTAAATGTCGTCACAGCTCCGTTTGTTGATCTTAGAGAAGATGATTAAATGGAGAAACATCTTGGCTGGATTACAGAACTGCTGAATTCCTAGAGGTCTTATATTACAGAATAGTTTCCTTCCCCAGAAAAATTACTGAGAGTTTTGTCACTGACTTCAGCATGAAACTATTCAGGCTCATGGTATTTTAGATCTTCCATAGCACTTCGTATCAGAATTACAGATTTCTAAGAGAGGCTGTTCTAGATGAAAAGATGTATTTACAGATTTCACATGCCCGTTCAGGCAACCAGACCACCAAAAATACATTAGACATCTAGATTAGCAATAATAGGATGAATATAACTGCAAACAGCAAGGCAAAGTTTAGGAAAAAAAATGGTGGACTATTTGGGCAGGGGGAAGTGTTATGTTATGGGCCTTTTCAGAATTAATGTCCCTCAAAACAAGGAAAATTAGATGAGACAAAGTACTATCTAACAGACCTTACAGCAGACCTGGCAGGGTGATGGACTTGTTAATCCAGCAGAATTTTCTATGTCTATTTTTTATGTTTATTGAAGGGTAATACATTTAGTGTTTTTGAAAAGGAATTAAATGGTTCTTCCAGCTGCTGCAAGCCTGACTGGAATGTTGACTTTTTAGGTTAAAGCTCAAAGCTTCTGAGTTCTTACAGGTAAGTGAGTCAATGTGTTTGCAGAAGTGTGTAGAGCAAAGATACTGTGATTTCTGGTCTGCTCAACCAGTGACTTGCTGTGCCAGCTTCAGCCAGTTTTGGACTTGCTTCAGAAGTGGTGTTTAACAAACTGCAACACTAAGCATCCAACACTAGCAGAATCCGCAACCCCAAGTGAGGAAGTTACTGTTCCCCTGCGAACTGAGGCAGTGTGAATGATGGTCAGTGAGAATGGGATCCAGGGTAAGCAGTACAACGGGCAAGAAGTGGCTTCAGTCACACAGTGAAAGACATCTGTCTGATTCAGTGTTTCAGGAAGGCTTCTACTTTAGCTTAGAAAACAGCTGATTAAGCACTTAGTTGTTTTACTTCAAGACCAAAGAATGGTAGTAGTGGTATTACTGCCCTTGCTCCCCTTGCTTTTAAATTGGCGGTTCACTATTTGGGGAGCTAACCAGGATGCAAGAAGTTTATTTCTATCCCATTTTCTGCCAGATCATTCTGTTAAAGCTGTTTCCTGGAGGTGGGGCAAGTGAGAATAACCCTGATGCTTAGGAGGATGACAGAGGAGTATTTAGGTTTTCTGTAATGAGCCCTTCATGTTTTCTCTGTACACTTACTTGCAATAAACAGTAAGACCAAGCAAGGGCATAGCAAGGGTAGAAAAGAGAGCTGCCTATCACAGCTCAGGTGTGAGAGTCCTCCAGCCTGGGACTGGACTCTGCTTGGAGGGTTAATGTACCCTAAGGTGAGGTTTACTGACTGCTTTTCTCAAGTGTAGGATTCTCCACAGCCTGGCAGGACACGTGTTCATACTCATTCTTTGTATGTCAGCAGTGGAAATAGGAAACATGTAATCCACAGACCGTGGGTACCAGGTACGCAGTGAACCAGAGTTTTGTCCATAGGTCTGCTAGCTATCTTTTGAATAGAGAGATGAGGATCTCCCTTGCTCCCTTGGACAAAGTGAAGAAGCTATAGATCTTCCTTTCCTAGCTCCAAGAACAGGCAGAGGTAAAACACAGGTAGGGATTTAACTCTTCTTACTTAGTATTGATTTCCTAAAAATTAGGGAACACAAGCCCCTAGTGTGGATATTTCTTGCAGTTATGCTTTTTCAGTTAAATTCACCATTACATCCATTCACTGATTCTGTAGCACCTTTGACAGTATGTTATCCTCAGTCTATCCTTCAGGGGAGAGTTACTGTCCTGAATGAAGAAGTTACTCAGCCTCCTCCAAACCCCCATGCATCTTGGATCTTCTAATGAGTATTTTAACATACTGAAAGTGCACATGGGCATGTTTTATGTTGTTTTTATTTTTCAGACTCTTATTGAAACATTTGAAAAAATTGGTACCACCAACATTGCAGACCTTATTGCTGGGCTCCTCACCATTGTCATCTGCATGGTAGTGAAAGAAATAAACGATCGGTTCAAACACAAGATACCTATTCCTATACCAATAGAAGTTATTGTGGTAAGCAAAAGAGTGTAACAAAACCTGATAACAGATAAAATAGGTGGGGCTAGCTACAGGAAGACAAGAAGCCTTTTTAAGTATCTAAGCTGTTGTTTTATTTTATTACAGACAATAGTAGCCACTGGCGTTTCATATGCTGCTGACTTTGAAAAAAAATACAATGCAGGCATTGTTAAGAGCATTCCAAGAGGGTAAGTGCCTTTGTTTTCTGGGAAATAGGTATTATTTTAATTGGATAAAAATTACAATGGTAAGAGAAAAGACATAAAAGAGAAATTGAGAGCTGCAAGCTGAGTTTAGATCTCAGAGCTGGAGATTTCCTGAGTTTTACTTCTGGATCTGTCAAGTATGCTACCCAAATACATTGCCTAGTTTTCCTTCACCTGTAAATTGGATTTAGGAATATCTACTGGATTCATGAAGTTCATCTGAGAAGGAGCTGCTTCATAAAGTGAATCTATGACTATGGGAAATTGTAAAAAAAAAAAAAAATTACTAATGAAATTCTGCATAGATTTAATTTTTGTAAATGCAAGTTATTCCTCCCACTGTGATTCATATTCATGCCACTGCTATTATCCCAGTCAATCTAGTCACTTCCATAGTCATAGGAGCAAGGATGTTGAGGATTACACTGGTAGAGACTTTCACTTGAAAGATTCAGAGCACTTCACAGTAGTAACCTTCACATTCCATTTGGTATTCAGGGCTTGATTAATTAAAATTTGAGGGAACACAGTAGGGGATAACATGTTTTTGAGATCTTCTGAAGAAGTATGTTAACAATAGTATGAAGCGTCATTAACATATTTATGTAATTCATCATACTATTCAATACATCCTTTATTCAATGCTTCAAAAAATGTACTTTTTCACTTTGCTATCATAAGGCCAAATCTCAGTCATGCTGAGAACAATGAGAGCTTTGTTGCTGACTAATAGCATCAGGATTTGGGAAAGCTAGATAAGCGTGTTCTGTATGTCAATGGGCTGTTTCCACCTTTTTATTAACTTGAAACATTACACTTCATATTATAAGCAACCTGTATGCCTCTGCCTCAAACTCCTTGACAATTCTAGTAAGAACAGAATTTGATCAAAGATGATAACACTAATGTATTTTCTAAATGCTAGATTTTTGCCTCCTGAACCTCCAGATGTCAGCCTGTTTTCCCAGATGATAGCAGCCTCCTTTTCCATTGCTATTGTTGCTTATGCTATTGCCGTATCTGTGGGGAAAGTATATGCAACCAAGTATGACTATGCTATTGATGGAAACCAGGTATGTATAATCAAAAGAGTTTATAAACACAGTGAATGTAAGTTCTGTTTCATGTAGCCAAATGAGAGAAACATCATCCACGCACATTTTTCAGACTAAAGCTGAAGTCTGACAGGAGAAATTCTTTCAACTACTGGGAAAAAAAAAAAAAAAAGGCTGAAATGGCCATATATTACATGACAAATTTACCACATAGAGATGAGCCAGATGTGCTCTACCTTAAGTATGGGCTTTTCATGGAATTAATTCCTTTTGTATTGTTTTAGTGGCTCCAGTAACTCTGAAAAGGTAATTAAAGCTAAGCACTGTATAAGGGATTTTCTGGTGATGTCAAGTTGAAATGGCCAGCTTCAGCAACCTGCTTTGCATTTCCCCTTGTAAGGTATATTTTGAGGTGTGTTGCTGGGGATGGGGGACAATGTCAAGTTAAGAAATTGCTCCAGACAGCTTTATTTAGTGTTAGGCTCTGTGCAGGATTTATATCAGTTGAACTTTTCAGTTAGGGCATGATTTTATCCCTACAGAATAAATTGTTGTGCTTCTCAGCATGACACCAGTTACATCGATATAAATGTATTTTACCTGTATAGCTAAGTCTTGCAGCTTCACAGAAGTAAATGCCTACCAGCATATCAACATCCTTCAATAACTGTCTGTACCAAATGGCTGAATTGTTTTGATCATTGGTTTCTAAAGGCACATAGCTAGAGTGTTACATGAGCTGTGCATTCACAAGCTCTTAGAGGATTCCTGCAGTTGTTCAGTGTCTTTTTCCAGGGGTTATGTCACTTGCCCATGGGTGTGGGAGTAAAAATGTCAGAAAGCTTCCTTGTCCTATGTCTTTATGCTAATTTTTAATTTTATCCTTTGAACATATGAGAAAATGCACTCACTACAATAAATAGATAAGCTGAGTACTTTGTTTAATGAGTCCTTTATTTTAGCACTAATGGATTACATGAAATTTGATTTTGGAAACACTTTTGCAGGATGTAACAAAATATACTGCTGAACATGTTTGTCTCTTTACAATACACAAAGTTCATATCTAGTAACGCTTTGATTTAAAGTTGCCTAAAATGCATTGACTTTCAGTTTATTAAATCTGAAAGAGTAATACATGTTCCTGGAACTGCTGTTTATGCTGTTCTTTTGAGGAATATGCTGTTCTGCCAGCACTGATGTGCTTCAAAGATACTAATTAGATATTGTGGTAGTAGAATTTCTGGCTATAAAAGCAAAGTGCTTTCCTTTCAATAGTATGCTATGAATTTTACATGTAACAAAGGTTAAAAACAGACATGAATGATGGACAAATAGTTTACTTGAATAGGAGAAGTTAGAATAACATCATAGCAGCAGGTAGTGAAATAATTTTGAAGGACAGGTCAATACTATTATCTGCCAGTGCTTATTTTGTCTTGATAGATGCACAGACCATTAAGATCTAAGAACACTAAGAACAATACTTACAACATTTTCTTGCAGAGCACAGATGTTACACAGGAATAGGTCCATTCTGTTAAAGAATGTAACTTCAAAATCCTGCTCTTATAGTTGAGCTTAATTAAAAGCTTACAGGAAATTTAATTTTGGAGAAAAGAAGAGAGAAAGTAAAAACCAAATCTTAAATTGTATTTTAAAAATTTGCAGTGAGTGAAAAGCTCTTGTGACTGTTGGCTTGGTGAAAACAATGTTTCTGTCAATTATATGGGGTTGCAGGCAGCTCCCAAATGCCTCATTTCCCAGCAGAGGAATGGCCCAGATCCCAGGACATAAAGGCCCCAGGGTCCTTGTCACTTGTGCAGAACAATCAGCATCAGTAAATGCCAGCATCTGTGACCCTGGGGCAAGTCTATGAGAACGCTGCCTGGGACTCAGCGTGAGTTCATTGGGATGTTTAGAGTGAGAAACTTCTGGCTCAACAAACTAGAAGTTTTCAGTGAAACTGTTTTATTGCAAAGTTCCTGATTAGTTCTACTAATAATACAATGCTTTGCATTAATTAAAGGCTTGTCTCAACTCAGATTTTTGTACTGATTAAAATTATTTGTTTAGCTGATGATGCTTGGGATTTAAATTTATACAAGTCCCATTTCTTGATGCAGTTATACCAGTGTAATTGTTAGAAATGTTAGGTTTGATGACATTGTTGGAAATGAACTTTAAATGTCTTTATACTAAGATGAGTATGTCCATGTGAGGGAGAGTGTATCGACTTCATTGTGTTAGTTCCCAAAGACAGGTGGTAAGACTGGCACAAGAGGAATTTGTGTAAACATGTAACAGCTATTACTAATCCATACTCTTATCAATATTATTGTGCTACCTACTTTATAAACTACTATAGAAAATATTGTCATTCTCCATTGGAAAATTGTCTTCAGGCATCTGTATTTACAGCATCATCCAATTACCTTTCAGGAATTTATTGCCTTTGGGATCAGCAACATTTTTTCAGGTGCCTTTTCTTGTTTTGTTGCAACTACTGCTCTTTCACGGACTGCAGTCCAAGAAAGTACAGGTGGTAAGACTCAGGTAATGACTTCTTCCTACTAGTACTGTGCACAGGTAAATCTAATCTTGTATAAGACACAGCTTTCACATTGGGTTGAAAGTAGTCCTAAAATGATTGTGTTGCTGGCACATGGAAAACCAGAGGTGTCTTAGCTAGCAGCTTGTGCTCTAGTAGTGAGTAATTTTTGTAGCTCTGCCAGAGGAGGGCAATCAAGTTTTATGTGGCATGAATTACATTAGGGGTCAGAAATCCTTCAAGCTTAATTCCCCAGAATTTCATTCCCAATTAAGGGACTGAATTTGTCACAGTAGGAATTCAGGATGAGGGAAGAAGTCCTCTTACAGCTGCCTAAGAGATATTTAAGTTCCTGTGTGTTGGCCTGAGCAGCCCTGTTATTTGCCATTCATCATCTGCCCATGTGCTATCTTTCTCATGTTGAGTAAACTGTGCTGGCTTACAGTACTACAGCTTTGCATTCTTTAACAGAGGAGAGCAACGCATTATCCAGCAAGCCCTTTTCTGGCTGACACACAATTTGTCTCTGCAGTGCAACCCTTCCAAGAGCTACTACCTTGTGTGCAGTTGTTTATACTACCTGTTTAATTGAATTCTCTCTGTGTTAGCTGAAGTGTATAATGATGGCCCACGTGCACCTAAACACAATGGCAATTTGGCAGGTCTCCTTGTTCCTAAAGAAATGTGATGTGAAACTACTTGTGCATTTTCCTTTGTAATCCTAGAAACATAAGATAGAGTCTTAATAAGTTCATTTCCTATAAACACTCTGTTCCTCACAGGTTGCTGGCATAATCTCAGCTGGGATTGTTTTGATTGCCATTGTTGCCCTGGGGAAGTTGCTAGAGCCCTTACAAAAGGTACTGTACTTGCCTCTGCAGCACAGCCACCAGCACCAGACACCCAAATGCTCAACTTCCATGGCCAGGATTAATAGCCCTGTTTAAACTATGGTGACTGATACCAGATGAGGCTCTGGTTTACCGTGTATAATGTTGAGCGCTATCTTAATATACAGTTCTGCTTCTGAGTAACACTTTTTCATCATTTTCACAGTCTGTGTTGGCAGCTGTAGTCATAGCTAACTTGAAAGGGATGTTCATGCAAGTGTTTGACGTTCCACGTCTGTGGAGACAGAATAAAGTGGATGCTGTAAGTAACCTAATTCTTTCTTTTCTCCTGAATGCTCTTGTATGGTTTTCTTTTTGCTGCTTAATACCATCCAAGATTCTCTTAACTACCACATACACAGAATTTTTGTAGAGTTAACATCAGTTAAAAATTCCCCAGTTTCAAGTTTTACGTAGTATTCTGCTCATCTTCTTTATTCCCTATACCTCACAGTAAGGGTGCCAATCGGGGTATTCTTTGCAGCGATGACTGCTTCATAGCAATTATCATAGTTTACAGCAATCTTGTGTTGATATGGCTTGGAAATCGGAATAAAGATGGCCTGTTGCCACCTTTACCATTCTCTTTTGTCTTTTGCACAGTTTAAATGGGTCAGAAAAGCTGACCTTTTCTTAATTCATGTACATATATTTATGTTGTTACCACAATAGCATCCCATTTGCCTGGATAATCTCAGGTAGTCCTCAGAAAATACATTTTCTCATTGAAGCAAGACTAAGCCAAGCTAGAATGTGGGTTCATTGGACATGCTAAGGGATATACGAACAGGCTTTTCCTACAAACCACTACAACTATATCTCAGGGTACTTGCACACATCCCACTGTGTTTTCTGTGGAATAGACCTTCAGTGTGGCTGTTAGGGCAGGAAAACATTGCATGGAAAGTAAATTCTCCATGCAGTCCTTACTATGCTTAGATTTTACAGTCATTGGGCAGTACCTGCTTAGGCAGATCTGAACATATTTAGTCAATCATTTAGTAGTTTTCTGCCTAGGTAAAAGATCCCACTGACTGCCGCAAGAAGTGCAGGCACTCAGCTTTCTGAAAGATTGGGTCCACTGGGTGTTCTGCCTGGGCAGTGACGTAGGGAGGAACTGAGAAGCCCACTTCAACTGTTCCGCCTGAATATTCAGTGGAGATGTTAGAGAGTGCCATCAACCTGTTAATATGAAATACCTCTCTTTGCAGCAGTTCTGATTCTCAGATACCACTGAGGAGCTCTCTTCTCTCTCTGTATGCCTGCAGTATTTTACATCTTGGGAAAGTAAATTCTTTTCTGTTTCCAATGAAAGATTAACAAAGATTGCCACCATCAAAAAGAAGAAAATGCAATGGTTAGCTGCATCTCTTTTAATTTCACTGAAGAAACTGGATCTCCAACACTGGAGAACTGTTGGGAAGACTTTTGTATGGAAGTCAGCTAATTCCCAGTGTGCTATTGTTATCTCCATAGTTATATTCTTCTGCTTTGTATATTGTCTGGTCTAGTGATTCTTTAGTGTGACCAGGAATTATAATTAAGAGACTTTACATTTGTTATTTCCTCTCCAGGTGATCTGGGTTTTTACATGTGTAGCATCCATCATTTTGGGACTTGATTTGGGATTACTTGCTGGCCTTTTGTTTGGATTGCTGACAGTTGTGCTGAGAGTTCAGTTGTAAGTAACATAGGATCAGAAATAATTGTTCTTGTTATACCATGAAAAAGAAAGACAATATACTGAAAAGCAAGATGATTTGTGGCAGAAAATCTGCTTGGGCTTACAGAAATTTTGGAATGGAAAAAATCTCTTCTTTAGAATAAAACACTGTCTATGTGCTATCACTTAATTACACTGATAAAAAAGAAGCTACATTATTCTATCGGTATTTATTCTATATCATGATGGGTACTTTGGTGGTATGTAGCTGAGTTTTAGAAAGGAATGTACCCACGTAACTGAGTTTTAGAAAGGAATAGGAACATTCCAGATCAAATACCAAAAGATGTATGAAGAGCTTCTCTAATTGACTGATCATGATAGGAACTCTTAGTATGTAATACTAGAAGAGTATGTTGCATATACCAATAACCTTTTCACTTACTGCTTATACAATACTGAGTGTATGTCTGTGAGAGTAGGAGAAAGAATGAGAATAAGGGAAAAATTTGTTCTTGTGGCTGATGTGTTTCTGCTCAAAGAACATATGGTAGTGGTATAGTGAGAAAAGATGGCTTTGCAGAATCTCATTTGGCCATCTTATAACTTTTTATTTATCTTTTCTCTAATAATACAATATAACTCCTTTCCTTCAGTCCAGAGAGTATGGTTACTAGCAATGCCAAAGGACAGTTGCACTGTCAGCAAATGCATAAAAATAAAGCCTTGCAAGAGTTGTCACAGGATAGTAGACTATAAAAAATGGAATTTGAAGAGCCTCAAAACCCCAAAAATTCCCAAATTCGACTCAGATATGTGAAATCAACATTAAAAGGAAGATAAGGCTTTGCAAACTTCAAAACAATTTGCTTCATCTGTTAAAAATATATATGGATACTGCAAAATATTTTGATTTGTTATTGATGGAAATGAAAATTAAAAGGGCTGGACAAAAAGTTGTAAGTAATCTGAAGAGAATGTAAATGTATAGTTTCAGTTGATTTGAAACAAAAAAAGGAATCAGTCGTTTTCAGAGTAAAAAAAATAAAGTTTTCATTCAAACCAAACTGATCTGCTTTTAAAACATTTTTCTGGTTTGTGGAAGAAATGGAACAAGTTCTCCTTCAGTTCTACATAAGAATGGTGCAGCAAGTAGGCTGAGACCAAAGTACCTTGTCTTTGAAAAGGACCATTCACTACGAATCGGAAAAAGACACAGTGACACAAAGCAGATACACTTTTAGAGTGAGACTTAGTTTGGCAGAAGACAGTGGACTACAAGAGTTGATGACAGTTTGTATGCAACAATCCATTCAATTCTCTGAAGGCCTAAGTGTGATGTTTACCTTCACTATTTTGTCTGTTTGTTTCTGTTAGTCCTTCATGGGGTGGCTTTGGAAACATTCCTGGCACAGACATCTACAAGAAGGTCAAGGACTACAAAAATGTAAGTCATTGCTGAGTTGTTTCTGTTCAGTCGACAAGCCAGTGTAAGACAAAGTTGTGCATATTGTGGACAACTTGAATTTGGAAGTGTATTGCTCAAAGATAACAAGTTTCAGGACTGAATTCTTGATCCAGATGGTTGGTCCATATTGCATCCTGGAGCTGAAAGCTTCTAAAACTTACATCACCATGACCATTAAGCTTCTATAAACTACACCACCAAAATTATCAGAAAAGATATGCCATTATTTTGTGAATTAGATACGTAGTTGAACTTTTGAAACAGGTAAACTGCTTCGTATTAGCCAAAATACAGTTGTTGCTGCATAACCTTATATTCTTTGGCATTAGGTTATAGAACCAGAAGGTGTGAAGATTCTCAAGTTTTCAAGTCCAATTTTTTATGCTAACATTGATGGACTGAAAAGCAGCCTCAAATCCACAGTAAGTGATAATGTGATGGATTTGGATGCTTCTTAACTGTCTTTGGGATTTCCTCAGAATTTTATCTAGGTAAAGTTAAATAATTCTGATCCTTTCTCTGTAGGTGGGATTTGATGCAGTCAAGGTATATAATAAGAGACTCAAAGCACTGAGGAAGATACAAAAGCTAATCAAAAAGGGGAAATTAAAAGCTACTAAGGTAAAACGTTTTTTTTTCTTTCTATTATTTCTCAAAATATTACTGTTAGTGCTTATTACTTGAGCCTTAATTATGAGTTCCTCTGTACTTACTACTGTGACTTACTACCATGGCTGGAAGTCTGGGACCTGCAGGAGACTTAGCAGAGCAAGACACCTGTTGCCAAAGATCCCACAGATCCAGGCAGCTCTGACAGTCACAGTGTTAATAGGAGTGGAAGCAAGAGATTCCCTGATCTTACCCCTACCCTTCACCACCTCAGATTGTCTCTGTGCAGTAAAAATGATGGCTTTTTCATGGGTACATGCTCCTGTTATCCAGCTTTTGATGCATAGATAAGCTGTATCAGTTGCCTGGTAGACACAGCCTTTCACATCCTCCTTAAAGGCAGTAGCCACAGGTCTCACTCTCCAGCAGCAGTTCCAGCCCAAATTCCCCACCTTGTAACTGCTTGATTTTATAGACAGTGCTCTGTGCACAGTTACGCTTCCCTGTTCATTGATGGGATCATCAACACCTGGTCGGCTGGGTGCCTGGAACCTTTGAGGCTGGCAAGGAAGGAAGCAATCAGCCTGATCCAACAATTTTGAGGCTGGTAGGAAGGAAAGGAAGAAATCTGTTTGGTTTGTTTGCTTGGTTCAGAGGACCTTCAAGGTCTGAGAATGAGGAGAATGAGGGGAAGGATGAATACGAGACATGCTTAGTCATAGTGAATGGCTGCTTGCCTTATAAAGTGGTGTTGCTTATGCTAACCAACTTTGCTAGGTATGACAGAGAACTATTTCCTGTAACTCCAAAACTTTTTCCGTGTTTAAACACTATATTCCATATATTGTCTGTGCATTAGAATGGCATCATCAGTGAGCCTGGTGTTAATAATGAAGCTTTTGAGACTGATGAGGAACCTGAAGACAACCAAGATCTTCAAGTTCCCACAAAAGAAGTAGAGATCCAGGTGGACTGGAATTCAGAACTCCCAGTCAAAGTAAACATCCCCAAAGTGCCCATCCACAGTCTCATTCTTGATTTTGGAGCAGTAACCTTCTTGGATATTGTAGCTGTAAGATCAATAAAAACGGTAAGGGCAATTTTTTTCTGGGGTTCCATGAAAATGAAACTAAGTCATTAGTATGTAAATCAAGAGCTGTTAGCTGAAGTTAATTTCTGGGGTTTTAGAAGTCTGTTGTTGAAAAATACCTTCAAAACTCATACAGCAAGATGTAGAATATTGGCATGTGCCTATTTTGTGGGGGAAAAAAAATAAAATGCATTAAAAGAGCAATATGAAGGTTGCATAATCAAGTACTCTAAAATTAGAACTGCAAATAGTGGTCCCCTTGTATGCCTATATTATGAAATATTTTAGTTATATATTTTCTTTCCACATGCCTCCTGCTTTAATCTGGGCACAGGATGATGCTCACTCAACACAGAGGTAGTAAATATTTCATCTTACCATCACTTTTCAGTCTTTAGCCACAAGATTTATTTATTCATTCAGTATTAAATTATGAAGGAAGGAAGAATGATTCATTTCTTTACATGGTTTTCTGTGGCTAGTATCAGAGCGCTTCACCAACATTCATTAATTCATCTTCAAACACCACGCTATGTAAAGAGATAATGTTCCTAGTTTAGGGAGGGGGAAATGAGGTGAAGAGATTAAGGCCAAGTATTTCCACTATTTTTTGGTGTCCTGCTACAAGTGTGTAGAACCAGATTGTTCAGTCATTAGTCTTTTGTGATACTTTGTATGTTTGGATCGATGCTTTCACTAACTTCATTTTGCAGTTGGGACTGCTTAGCCTATCTATAGATGAGACCTTAGATTACCAAGACTCTAGTTTATCAATGAACAGAAGGGGATGGAATTAGCAATCAATCACCTCTGAAAATACTGTTTTAAGAGACTGGCCTGCCACTAGGGAGCCAGAGGTAGAACCCAGTGTCCTATCTTTTATCTACCTGAAATACCAGAATGCTGTGTGCCTTGCTTCAGCCTTCTGCCTAGTTTTGATTCAGTTCCCACTATTGAGACAAACAAGATGTGGGGTCCATAGACATGGCTCTTTCCATAAGCATCTTTTACATGCAAGAACAGGTCCATCTGGTGCATTGCACGAGGGACATATTTGCATGTTAGTGTATCATATCACACGTACAAGGGGGGAAGTAAAGCTTGCTCAGGCCCATGTGGTTCTCACATGATTATTCATATTATGAGAACAGAATGAGAACCTTAATAGGCAGCAATGTATTTATGTGTAAAATTGATAAACTTAAATAGTCGAAGATAGGAAACTTCAGCAACCAAGTACTTAACTACTGATTTTTAAGCAGAGCAAAGTATAGCAATTCCTTATTTACCATGAATAAACAAACATACAATTTGCAATGAAGACACTCAGAAACAAATGAAGGGTGTGTTTGTGTGCCTCTACATTACATATATATGCATATATACATGTATGTATTTTCTTCTTACAGACTTTATTTGTCCTTGTTGCAAAGTTAGTTTTGTTTTTTTTTTTTTATTTTAGATAATTCGGGAGTTTGAGAGAATTGATGTGAGAGTGTACTTTGCTTCATATCAAGGTAAACATCAAAGTATTTCTACTACCACTCATGCAAAGAATAAAATGAAGATGAGAAGGGATGAGAATGGATATCTACATGTGTCTGTGGGAGCATTTGTTCTAATAAAAATGTGAATTGTGACACTGATAAACATGATGGGCTGTGGTGCACGCAAAGAATGGTGGGGTTTAAAGGAAATATGGAAACTAAAAGTCAAGACAAAGCTATGATTGATTGATTTGGCTATACATTTGATTTCTGATAGTTGTAACTCTCTATTTTGACATTTATTTCTTAAATTACTTCAAATTGCATTAATCTGTTACGACTTTCTTTTATTCAGACAACCTTATATCTCAACTGGAACGGAGTGCATTCTTTGATGACACTGTCAGGAAAGATGCATTCTTCTTGACTGTCCATGATGCTGTGCTCTACATAAGGAATCAAATGACATACAGTGAAAACCAGGATCCTATATTTGAAAAGGTATCCAGTAGTACATTTCCCTTCCTTCTGTCATTCATTCTTGCAATTTCCATTATAGCATGGCATGATTGAAAATTAGACATAAAGCTGTAGTACAAAACAAGTGGGAGTCTAGTAAATTGGACAGCTTCTGTAGTACATGAGTATTTTGCTAGATCAAATGAAGGGTCTGTCAACCCCAGGACCTTGTTAGTGGAAAGAACACGACAAAGAGGATATACAGAGAACACTTCATCCTAAGATACATTTTCTAGTTTCTGAAAACTGGCAGCTTAAGAACTTCCTCAGCTGGAGGTTGCATTTGAGCCATTATATTTAATTGCCACAGATGGAGTTTTCATCAATGTGTCTGTCATACCCCTTCTGGAATCCCTTTACACGTTTTAGCTTGACACTATCCTGTGGAGATGGGTTCTGTAATTTTAAATGTGTTATATGACAAATATTTCTTGTTTTAAGCCTGTTGGATTTCTGGATTGTTAGCTGCAATGAATAACCATTCCCTGCTCCCTTTCCCAACGCTATTAATAATTTGATATACTTCTGATCAAAGCTGAAGAGTCCCATTCTTCTTGGTGTGAGTGTGTATGAAAGCTGTTCCACACTAGTGTTCATTCCTACTGCCCTTCTCTGTGCATTTCCTAGTTGCATTCTGTGTTTTAAGATACTTCACAGTAATAAATTGATTTCAATGGTACAGGCAACACATAGCTCATCATGTTTCTTAATTTCTTTCTGTCAAGATTTCACTCATGCAGGAGTCTAAAGAGCCCATAGAATTCACAGAAACAAGCCGGCCTGATGATGAACTTGATGTTCAGGAAGAGGTATGCAATTTAGAACTGAATGTGTCTGTTACTTACGCAACACTGCTGGCTTTATACCTTTGTCTGTAGCATTGAGTCATGCTGTACGAGTGACAGATGAACTGAGCCCTCAACAGTTTTTTTTCTCCATAAATAAATAACCTCCTTGGGTACCTTCTTAGTGGAAGAAGTCTTGAAAAATAGTAGGTTATGTGTGCATGAGCATCTCCACTATAATTTTAGGACTACTTTTGCCTTACACGGGCTTACACATAGATAAGCATGAGTTAGGCGGCTAAAAGAAGACCTGGTAAGACTTGAGGCTTCTGAGTCCAAAATTATGCTCAACTTACTCCCTTCATTCCTTCTTTTAACACAGCAAACGCTTTCTTGCACAATCTGAACATTTTACAGGAAGCTGCAGCAAAGCAGTGTACTGAACATGACTACCATGCAACAATACCGTTAAAGCAATACCAGGGTATTTTGTATTTACAGGTTGCTGCCAGAAAAGAAAGTAGCACTTACTGCTAAAGTAACAGCCAATAAAATAACACAAGCCACTTATTCAGAAACAGGAGATTGATCTAAATGCCCTTTTATAGCCTGAGGTGTTGCATCAATACCTCAGAACATTCCATTACTATCTGTCCCTCCTATACTGCTATTGTGGTACTAGTCAGAACACCATTCTTAATTCCTGATCTAAACTGGGGTAGCACCCTGTGCTTGACCTCTCTGATCCACAAGGATGTCATGATCCTTCTCTCAGTGATGCTCTAGCAAAATGCTGCAGCAAGGCTGCTGCGTATGTGGGATGTAGAGGTCCCTGGAGGGAAGATGGTAAGAGAAGTTGTGGCTGGGTAGAGGTTCTCAGCATCACCCTGCATTGTAGTTTCTACCATAGCACGAAGTCCCATAGGAAAGGGAAATGTCATCTTGGAAAGCAGACTGGTGAGAGGAGAAACTGAGACCCTAAGCAAAAGCTTTTTAAACTTCACCAGGGCTTGGTCACTTGAATGGCACACTTGGTATCCCTGATTGACCCCCTCCTCTTCTGGTTGGTATGAATATTGCAAGAGATGCAAATATTATTCTTTATCACTAACATGGGGAGAAGCACTTTCCACTCCTCTGTAAGTCACAGTGCAGAAAGGAATGAAGGATTAAAAAAGCTAGAAAGACACCATGAGTCTGTAATGGAAGCATTTTGGAATAGAAGGCCAAAGAGACTTGAATTCTGATCTCTATTCACAGGACTCATTACATACTTATATTATTGTCATTAAATAAGAAAAGAAACCAAACAAAAAACTTCCAATCTGAGCTTAAAGAGTGTTTTGAGAGTTTCTGTCCTCTATCATTATAGTCGTATTTTGAAGGTGAGAGCTAGTAAACTTCAGAACTGCAGCTCCCTGACTGAACTGTCCAATGCAGACACAAGTCAGAAGGCAGCTGCCTCAGAATAGTTACTTTCTCTGAGGCCACATTGAACATGGTGGTTTTTAGTTGGCACACATACAAACAGTTTATTTTTCCAAGTGGTGTGTACTCAGAATTAACCATGACCTGTTTCTTTCCACCTTCTGAAAACCATTTCACTAGGCTATGCGCAGACTTGCTTCATGATGATGGGCTGCTGGTGTTGTCCTACCTGTGAACTCACAGCAGTATTTATCCGCCGGTACAATATAAGCATTTTCTGCAATGAGACCAATCTTTGCACTTCAAGAAAAACCTGATTGTTTGTCTGAATGATGCAGATCTCTAGAAATCTCCAAATTTTAGCTCACGTTATCCCGGAAATATTCTGGACCTTGATTCAGCAAGCACTTTCCCATATGATGTATTGATGAAAAAATTCAGAAGACTATTACAAAAGATGTACTCAGTTTTGGGATTAGTCAGACAGAAGGTGCATTACACTGTTCATCAGTGCGTACAGGATGAAAAACTGCTTTGCGGTCTGCCCAGGAGAGCTGAAGAGACCAAAATCTTTGGATGGCAAGCCTTTTGTTCTATATTTATACCACACCTAACGAGAGATCAGGAGTTGTAGCTGGCCAAGGCATTGGATTCTCGAACATTAGAGTGAGCATACCTGCTAGCAAGTCTTGAAAAATCTATTGTGATGTTTTCCAAGCAATTCCTGAAGTTGCTGCAGGTTGTCTCGTAACTGAAACAGGCGACGGGTGAAACAGTCACATGAACAGAAAACAGCACTGAACTACTATAAAACTTTAAATAGGATTATGTAACCTTTGGATACAGGTTCATTAGTTCTGTATTAATCCCAGTGTAGCATTATGCACTACTACTAATGATCATCCCTAAAACAAAGTATACACAGAAGATTTATTTTGGTTGGGTTACGTATCTTTCATCAAGAGGCAGATCTTGACATAAATTAGATTAAGGAAAACCTTAGTCCCCAAGTACTTAATGGAATCTGTAGAACAGGCTGTTACTGAGTGCAAGTGAGAAAGTCAGAACATGACTGAGTATAGAAGTTTGTGGGTTTATTTTTAAATGGAATATAGGATTTTATTTACTTTAATAGTTATATTTTTATATAGCTTATTTTTTCTTTTAATATTCTACATTAAACTGCTGCTGTTCTTTTACATTTTGCAGTCCATAATGCACAAGTGCAATAATTTACAAAAGATAAAGGATCTGACCTGCAAAACTTTAATCCTCGCTTTAGGACTATATAAAAAATACATGTAGGAAATCAATGTTCTTACTTTTCATGAAGAAGAAATGGTTTTTGATGGAAAACAGACTGCTACCTTAAATTTTTTTTAGCACTACATTATTTTTTTAAATGCAGAAACCCCTGCATGGTGAGGGAACAGATAATAACAAAAGTGCAAGAAACATCAAGGTATAAAATCCCTTTCATGTTTCACAATGTGAGCTGATTAATTTCAGTATGTTCACATATTTAAATCTCCTTATTTGATTACATCCGCAAAATTTTCCTGTATCAGACTGCACAGAAAAGAATTTTGCTGCAAGTAATGTTAGCAGAAAATCTCAGGTGAAAAGCTAAGCACTAAATAAATGATTCTGTCCTAAGGACCCCAGTGAACTCCATCGAAATCAGTGGAAAAAGAAAATTCTATGAACTGTCAGTTGGACAGTATCTTACACAGTAGGTGACAGCACCAGACTGACATCTGTATTCTCTAATTAAGGCAAAAACTTCAGCCTTCATGACAGTCAGTGAAGTTTCTCATTTCAGCTGCAGTACAGGCTTGAATTGAGGTGATACTGATGTTCTAGTCTAAGCCAGCAAGACGGAGGTTTATATTCACAGACACATGCCATCTGCATGTCTGCAGGCACCTCCACAAGCTGAGAATGTGGCATGCCTTTAAGAAGCAAACCAGGCTGACCTACACCTCCTCAGATGGAAGCATTCTCTTCACACTAATGCTTAGGCTCAGCTGTTCTTACTTGACAGCTCACGCTTTTAGCGCTGTCCTCATTCTCTCCCCTTCCATTTGTCAGCCTAACAGAGGAGGTTGGCACTTCTGCCCACATTACTGACAAAACTTCCTTGTCAGGCCATGGCCCCAGCTAAAATTAACCTGAACATAAGGCACTGTTGCCAGTGCACAAGGCCAGGAGCAGTGGGACACGGCCAGCCACGTGTTTCTCCGAGGCTGTATCACTTTTCTAAAGTGGATGTACACTTGATGTAAAAAGTAAAAGTAAAATATTCTGCCTGGGACTGGTAAGTGAGCTCTCAGCTCATTTTTGTGCAGAACATACTATGGAAAAGATGGCAGTGGAATTGTTTTCAAGAGAACATCTGCATTGTGAAGTTTGAGTGTGGAGTCTTACCTGACAGAGATGTGGGCTTACACTATTTTTTGAACCTTCTCCAGTTCTTGTCCATACAGGTATTTATAAAGAACAAGTATTCAAGAGTCTTTCAGTTTCCTTTCCAAATGCAGCACTTCAGCTGTGATTAATTATGATAAAATACAATGCAATGCACTTATTCTTGGCCTGCGTATTTCTTCCAGGCATGGTTTTATTTGTTCTTAATTTGTCACAAAAATAGCATTTCACACAAAGTCTACAGTTACACAGAATCGTAAGGTGACATGCAAAGGGCATTAAAACACCTTTTGCAGTGCTTCAGGGGTATGTGCTTCTTCATTTTCTATGTATCCCTGAAAATGAAGGATACCCAAATAATGGGGTTTACAGTGAAGCTAAAATTCTCCACAATTTTGTACTAACATCCGTGAGTAATGCAACTAGATGTGGTCATCTTGTCCAGTAGAATGAAGAAATATTTTCATATGCATTTTGAGTATTTCCTGCATGTCAGGTATTAAAATTTGAAGATATATTTTAAGTTTTTTACCCTTTAAAAAAACTCCTGTGTTTTAGAAGTAATTGTATCCATTAACTAGAAAATAAAGTTGTACATACTGAAAACATGCTCCATGCATCTGCATGTTTGGTTTTTCAAAATTCTTCTCTTTGTGAACTCTTATTATTAGAAATAAACCATACTTGGGGGG